GTGCCGGGCCTGGACAGCAGTGAAGGCCACTGAGAGCCAGCGGGTCCCGGAGAAGGGGAGACTGAGGCCTGCACACTTGTGAGAGGCAGCGTGGGCCTCCGTGGGGACGAGGGCCAAACCTTGCCCCCGGCTGTCGGGCCTGGTCGGAGCCGAGCCTCCCAGGACCCGGGGAAAGCCACGCGGTTGGGTCAGCGTTTGCCCCAAAGTCAAAGATGCTGCGGTCCGGAAGGCTGGGCGTGGGAGTCCCGGGAAGATGGGTCAGTGAGCCTGCGGGCGGGGCTGAGGCAGGGGGCTGGGACCCCGCGTGGGTCCCCATGACATCCCCCCACAAGGTCGCCGTGAGGGGGCAGGAGCGGTGCACTGGGCGGCACTGGTGTGGCCACAGGGCGGGAGCCCCGCGCGAGGGGGGGAACCCCCCCCCCCCCCCCACCAAACCGCGCGCAACCCCCGCGGCTGGGGGGGGGGAGGGGGTGGGTGAACTCCCAGGAGATTTAGAACATGGCAGCGGCCGCTGACCGTCCAGGGCGGGTGACGTAGGGCTGGAGCACAGCTGGAGAGCGGAGGGGACAACAGGGGACCGGGGCCGGGCTGCGGAGGGCAGGCGCGAAGCACCTTCTGGTTCTGTTTGCCAGGCTCAAGGCAGAAGAGCTGGCGGGGGGGAGGTCAACTAGCAGAGAGGGGTCAGCAGTGAGGGAGCTAGTGGCGGAAGGAACGGGAGCCAGGAGGGGGTGCCGGGGTGTCCGGGGTGGGGCGGGGGTCCCATCTGGTGGTCCTCAGATTCTCCAGGGGCATCGGCTGCAGGATGGGGTGGGGGGCATTCGGGGCCAGAGGCTCCCCGGGCGGATGAGCAAGGCGGAGAGGAGTCTGGGCCTGACGGAAAGGGAGGGGCTGACGGGCCCGGCCCGGGAGAACAGGGGCAGGTTAGACGCTGGGGTTGGGGACGGATTCCAGGAGAGAGAAGGTTCCCAGGGCGCCGACCATCCCCTCGCCGCGGGAGGGTGGCTGTCAGCTTTCAAGGAGCTCTTCTGATGTTCTCATGCCCCAGGCGTTCCCAGTTCCGTGAGACAAAGATAGGAAGTTGTGGTTTGCAGGGCACCGTCCCATCAGACGTGGACATCGCTGCGGCCTTGACGGGAGCACGCTCAGACGGCTCCAGGGGATTCGGAGGGACTGGCCGGCTGTGGGAACTCTCGCCCAGATCCAGACTGTCGTCATTCTGAGGGGCCGCGGGGTCCCAGGAAGGTCAGTGGGCAGAACGGGTGTCAGTGTAAGGCCTGGATCCAGACCTCTGAGGAGTCTGGGGTCCAGATCTTGACCTCCAGAAGCTTCTTATATTCAGAAAACGTGCACCTTGCTCAGCAGCCTGGTGGGATCAGGACTTGAGAGAAAGAGAGAGAGACAGACAGAGATACTGAGGCTAAGGGAGCATCGGGGGCGACCCCAGATTTCATTGGCTCCCTCCCCACTGGCTGTTTGCCTCTTAAATCCAGAAGTAGTCCTGTGGTTGCAGCCAAAGGGCCCCCCAACGCGTGGCGGCGGGTGCCCACCTTCCGAGGGTCTGAAGAGGCTCAGAAGGGCCTCCCCGCGCGCGCTCACCAGCCCAGCTGGGACTCGGGGAGCCTCCCCAGGCGTTGGCTTCACTTGCTGTGCTTCAATATCCTATGCTTGACACAAGCTCCATTTTGATTGTGGAATCACCCCGGCACCCCACATCCCCAGGTGCTATTTGGGGCTCTGACTCTAAGCCCCTTTGGAAATACCTGCACAGACATGGCTGTGGTGTTGAAAGTTCCCACTGAGAAGGGCCAGGATGTGGCGCCCACCGCCCAGCGGCTCCTGCGGGAAGCAGAGGCCTGCAAACTGCGACTGCCTCTGGCACTGTGCCCGGGGCCCCATGCGCCCGCACACGCTCTGGGGCCGCACGCTCCAGGGTCGCACGCTGCAGGGCCACCTCCCGCACACTCCAGGGCCGCCTCACCTCTGGGGAGACCTTGTTCAGATCAGGGCTTCCCAGCGTGTTAGTATCACCCCCGAACTAGATGTTCCCAGGGTTTGAGCTGGTGTCAGGCGTGTAACTTTATTATGTGCCTCTCGCGATAAGCACGTTCCCATCAATTAACCAAACTCAGAGAAGGGGGCGTTCCACACAACTTTTTAAATTGTACTTTTATTTTACAGAAAGGGATTGTGTGCGAGTGTGTGTGCACACGAGCAAACGGGGAAGGGGCAGAGAGGGAGGGAGTGGGCACCCCAGGCAGGCTTTGCGCCCTCAGAGCAGAGCCCCACGTGGGGCTGGATCCCACCACCTTGAGATCGGGACCTGAGCCGAAGTCAAGAGTCTGACGCTCAACCCACCGAACGCCCCAGGCGCCCCGCCACAGAATTTGAGATGGCTTATTCTTGAAAATGCATTTGTGTCATCATTGTGAAGTGTTCAGTGACTTTGTGCTGGTGATCTTCCTTCTGTGCCATCAGACACATTCTCAACTGGATGCGCGAAAACCAAGTTACGAGCTAATCCCTGGAATAAAGGCAATGGGGACAAAGGTGGAGAACACGAATAACTCCGTAATCACAGCCTCTGCGGGCCCCGCTTGGGGCTCCGCGGCCTGCACTTCACCATGAGCGCCCGCTCCTGCCCCTGCCGCCCAGCCTCCACGGGAGGAGGTGACAGAGGGCCACGCCTAGGGCACACACGATCCCCCACAACAAAGGGGGAAAAGAGAATGGGGGGATTTTTTTTAATTACAAAACTATCACCTTCCAGTTCCTAGCGGTAAATTTTAAAAGCTGGATTACACGGATGATTTTCCCAGGAAATACATTTTCGAAGTACAAAGTGACTCGGGTAGAAAGAGGAAATCTAATTAGTCCAATGGCTGGGGTGGGGCGGCAGGAGCAGACAAAAAATATCCAAAGGTTTATCCTTCAACAGGCACCAGGCACGGGCAGCTTCATTGTGTCTCCACCACCGTTCAGGAATAATCTCCACGGCGGAGAGGTGGGAGACCCGCGCTTAGGATCGGGGTCTCCGGACACCAGCTGCTGGGTTCGGATCCCACCTTCCCGTCTCACCAGCAGGGTGAGACCTCGCGCGGGCTATTCAGACGCACTGTGCCTCAGGTTCCTCGTCCGTCCACGAACATGAAGATAGTACCTCATTGACGGCTGGTTTGCAAAATAAAGATCGAACGCACGTGAAACGGGTACAACTGTGACTGTTGCATAGTAAGAACTCGATCCACTTGAATTGTTACCAAGAGATACCTGCTCCCAAACACACAGAGGCGGAAGCATCACAATTCATTCCACACGGTTAGCCAAAAACCAGTGGTGGGGATAACACACTCACGTGCTCGCTGATAGGGACATATTATTTCCATTAGGACACAACTGCCCCAAATAAAAGCACCGACAAGCAGAATCCAACACGCCAGGAGCAAGTATGGCTCATCTCAGGAACGCAACGTGAGTCAACAGTGCAGACAACACGTACAACATTACAGTACAGTGCATTTTACTAAGAGATCAAAAAGAGGCACATCTCTGGTCATCTCCAAAGACAGGGCAGCTCCCCAAAAAGCACGTGGCAAAAGTGAGTATCCATTACTGGATTTCGAGCCTGTACAACCACGAGACCTTTAGGAAGCAAAGAATAGTAGGACAGCCGGCTAACACTCATGGATCCTAGAGTGGGGGCCCAGCAGACCCGGGCAAACCGTCAGATGTCAAGCCTTTGAGGACTCCCAAGCCAGCCGGCCTCCGTCCCAACCACTCAACGCCACCGTCGTGGCACAAAAGCACGAAAGCAGCCGTGACCCTGTACGTAAACGGGCAGGAGCGGCTGCGTGCCAGTGGAACTTTACTTAGGCAAAGAGGCAACGTGGGCTGGATCTGACCCCCTGGCACTCGTTTGCAGACCCCTGGGCTGGAACCATCCGTGCAGTCAGAAACAAGACGGAGGTGCCTGATTTTATCTTGGACTCCCAATAGACGTAATAATACAAGAAAATATATACGATGTACAAGTACTAGAAAGGCAGAGATAAAACGACAACCATCTGCATAATTATAGGACTGTTGGACCAGAAAAATCCAAACTGGCGAATCAACGGCAAGCCGTTAGAATTCAACGCGGCCAATTTTAAGGTCAGTATATAGTATTTATTAAAACAACACTATATAATTATAACATTTTACGGGGAAAAGGGTGCCGTTTGCGACAGCAATAAAACCCAGGAATGCATCGAGAAGGAGCAAATCTGACATAAAAGAAAACTGGACAAGTTCACTGAGATCCCAATAAGTCAAAAGACCCATTCCTGAGCAGGACTCCGCGGCATACCAATGTCGATTTTCCCAAATGTGCCCATACGCTCAGTGCGATCCCAACAAGATTCCTGACAGGACTGGTTTCTTGCAGCTGCCGCTAAACTTTATATGACAGAGAAAATGTACAAGATTAGCTGAGAGGTGTGTTTAAAAGGACACAGAAAAGGAACTGGCGATAAAGCCATCGTAGGTAGTGGATTGTGACCCGGGCAGGTCCGCGGGTCAGGACCCAAAGACCAGAGACAGAACCATATTATTTGTGGGAATTGAAGAAACGCCGACAGTAGCATTTCATGTCAGTAAAGACAGCACACCTTTCGCAGGAAATGGTCACGTGCCTCTGCCTGTGCTTCTGCAAAGGAGATGTCACGTCCACCAGCCTGTGTGCCCTCTGCCTTCCGCGGAGCCAGAGAGATGGGAGGGTGGCTCCCACCTGGGTTGTGTGTTTGTGACCACATTGTTGAGAAGCGGGAAACTTGAGGGGAGCCTGGACGCTCCGAAGGGGCACAGAAGAGGCTGGGGGAGTGGAGACACCACCTGGCTAGGAAGGGAAGCCCGCAGGAGGGGACACACCGGAGGGTATGGGGTACTCACCGTGACACAGAGGGACAGCATCAGCCACACCATCTGGGGTGGGGGAGGGAGCGAGAGAAGCCGCGGCCACAGCGGCGGGGCCTTGCCTGAATCCACGGCCACCCTGGGGGTCGGGGTGGGGGTGGGGGGTTGCACCCCAGCTACCGCCCACCAGGCTGAGGGAACACGGGATAAAGGACGGCCCACCCCCTCCTGGTTCTCTTGGGCTGGATCCGACCAGCTCTCTGCAGGTTCCGAAACTCAGCTGGGAACATTCACCGCAGTGGCCAGGTCCAGAGAGTAGGGGTCACGTGGAGTTTCTCTGCCTGCGACCAGCACGAATTCCTGTCTGCACTTCATTCCGAGGAGCCCCCAGACCACCCCACCCCCCATCTGTTTGTGTTTCTGTTGACATTATCATCTAAGGAGGGCCCAGACGGGTCCTTGAAGCCGGCCTTCCAAACATAAATAAGCAGCCTGTTTCAGTAAAACAAATTACGCACTTTTTGACATTTGCCAGTGTTTTGATTCCAGAAAGGCTGTGGACAATTCCCACAGTCCTGGCCCCCAACCCGTGGCCCTGCCGCCCCTGCTCACACTCACGCACCTTCCCACA